GCTGCCTTCCCAAGACCATGTCTAAGGAGGATGTCATACAACTGAAGCACTACCGAAGAATAGTGCATACTGGTCATTTTGAATGGAAACCTTAAAAAAAAATAAACAATTACTTTCCTGGCTTTCTTAAACAGATCCTAAACAGGATTTAAACTTGCAGGAGCAATCCATCATTCTCTTTTCGGTTATGGTGGATACAGCTGGTGCCCTTGGGTCTATTCTGAAAGATATAGCTCTTTGCTACTGCCTCAAATGATCCCAAATTCCCAGGCTTTTGGAATTCACCAATCTGATTTCGTGTTTATTATTTTATTTCTCTTCAATGTTTTACTATGAAACTGTATGGCTATAAAATAGGAATTGCTTCAAGCTGCTTTCATATACATTCCTTCTGAGCTGCTTCTAATATTCCTGTATAAGAAATGAAATGATTATCATTGTAAGAACTGTGAATGGAGCGAGAGTCAGCAGGATCAGAGTAGCGAAGGCCAGGGAGCTCTCCTAAGAGGGAAGGGATTGAGCTCTGTGATATAATATTTCTGACTGTTCAAAGGCTCACTGTATTTTCTTGCATGAAGTGGTCCAGCCCAGACAAATTGACCTCTAGTGAAAGGATGCCGATGTGCATAATCTGTGTGTCTTGGTTCCTCACTGAGACACAATACTGGACACCCACAGCTCTAAGAAAGAAAGATTTATTTTGATTCACGGTGTGTGGAGGTGGCTCCAAGGCAGGGTGGTGTGGCAGGGAGCAATAGCTTATGTCATGGTGGCAAGAAGTAGAGAGATGAAGAGAGGAGAGAGCCACACCATTCCAGGCCACGCCTCAGTGACCCATCTCCTCTGGCTAGCCTTTGCCTCCCAATATCACATCTAGCAGTAAATTCATCAGCAGACACCCCCATGATCCAATCACCCCCAGACCATGAGGCTTTGGGTAGGGACATAGCGCTGTGCACGAGGTCTGTGCCAAGGGCAGTGCATTGGAGAGAAACAATATTTATACTAAGATAATTTAAAATCAAAGGTGACCAAGTATAAACACTCTCATTCAGTCATGTGCATACATACACACACACACACACACACACATGCATGCACACACACACACACAGCAACAAAAGACAAGGCCATGAAACAGAGTCATCCAATTTTTCATTTTTTAATTTCTGCATTCTAAAATGCTGAGGACACACAGAATAATGACATTTTCAAGTTGGAATGAACTTTCAAAATCTTCGTTTTGCTCCCTGTTTTAGTTCAGGAATCTCTTTCACCTAGACAAATAGGACCTTTTCTTTTTTGTCTTCTTGCTTAGATCCAATTATAGGGAATTCAGTGCTTTTTGAAGTCTGATCTCATCAATGGAAGAGAAACCTCTGACAGGAAGTAGCAAAACTACAGCCCTGCCACATCTGATCTGCATTTCATGGGCGGATGTTAGAGTTCTTGTAGTGTTTTAATGAAGATATCTTCTGGGGTTATGGAGTAAAGCACATCCATGTGCATGGCGCAGATCTTTGCTTGTATGGGTGGGCATTTCTGACGCCAATCACCTTGGAAGCAGCTAGGGCTGGTATGGAAAATGCAAAGCCTTGATTAACCCGTGGGACAGGGAATGTCTGCTCTCCTGAATCTTTCTTCTTGAGCCTGAACTTGAACGCCTTGGAGCTTTCAGAGTCTGGTTAGGTGGAGGTAGGGCTGACGGACTCTGTCCTGCAAGGCAGCTAAGCACCCTGGAGAGAACACAAAGGGAAGATGAGCAGCCAATCCTGAAAGCGGTGTGACCTGGATTCCTATCACACTTTGTGTTTATTTCCATCTTGTCATCCCTGAGGCTTTGGAAATGTTTAGTTTAAATGTTCCAGCCTGGCCCAGCTGTGGAATGGCATTTAAGCCAGAGCTGCAGCCCTGTGTTCATGTCCCGACAGCATTCGAGGGGGAATGGTGCCCTAGGAGGCCACTGTGGGTTTTGTGGCTACCAGGACCCTCCTAAGAGAAAAGTGAATGTGGGAAACCAAAGTTGGCCCAGAGGCCTACCTACTGCCCTCCACGTGGTGATTCACTTGTTATTGCCATCCTTTTGTTAAGCAAGCTGCCACAGTTCCCACAAAGTGATCCTTTAAATTGGCTGAAGCGGGCTGGTGAGATGGCTCAGTGGTCTAAAGCACCTACTTAGAACAAGCTTACAAAGCACAGGGACCGTGGTTCAATCCCCCAGCACCACATGCCAGCCAGCTCTGCCCCCTGGTGGGCTGAGCTGGCCACACACACACACACACACACATAAATAAAATTAAAAAATAAATAAATAAATTGGCTGAAGCTTGTCTCCTGGTGACTTTCACCCACAGGGTTGAGTCCTTCCTCTCAAAAGCACAGAGACGGATTAGAACTGTTTACATTGAATAAGTGCTTACTCTGTGTTGGGTATTTTACTGACCAGTAAAGTATATCTCATTTGTGCTATTATTCCATCTTAAAGACCAAGAAATTAGATCAGATCTTGAATAAGTGTTAAGATTTGAACTCATGGGCCAGGGAGATAGCTTAGTAGAATGAATGTTTGCCTGGCAAGTGCAAAGGCCTGAGTTCAATCACAGGTTCTGCAAAAAACCACATTATCTCTTTTACACACTTATAATATTCAAATAACGGAACTTAACAAAAAAAAGGGATACAGATGAATGTCCATTTTGTATCTGTGTATTCAAAGTGGTTAGGATAGATGTATAGTTACATTCTCTTAATGAATAGAGGGATTTGTTCTAATGGTGTTTGTAAATAGGATATCAAGTCCGCATCTTGTACAGCAATTAACCACTAGGAAGAATGTATGCAATGTGTTAATTATTGAAACTGTCCTACCAATTTGATTTGAAACTATCTCATTGCTATTTGTTTATCAATAAAATTATGGAAAAAAAAAAGATTTGAACTCAACCTCATGTCAGATCCTACCGTTCTGGACTTTGAAATATTGCCTGTCTTGCCCCTACCTGGCAGAGCCCCCAGGCACTTGTAATCCTGTTCTCCTTTTGGACAGGGTGAAAACCTACTCCCACCATGCTGCCATTTCTCTTTGTGCCAGGGGAAGGTAGCAGTGACCAGTTGCTCTGACCAAGGTCTGCGATAATATAAAGAATGCAAAGCCCAGGCTGGCCTGGCATTTGGTGACTCGTCCCAATTTGACATCCAGGACAGCCTGGGCTGAAGCCTCTGGCAGCACCATTTTAGCAACCTTCCCCTTAAGAAGGTTGCTTTTCCTGTCCTCAACATTTTTTTTTTTTTTTTTCTGCCAGAACAACAGGCTCGGTTTTCCTGTCTTATAAATCTGGTCACCTAAATATGGGGCTTTGAGCAAACAGGAGCTGCTGGCCCCACGCAGCCCTCATTTCAAAATGCAGATTCTCAAAAGGCGGCTATTTTGGGGGGGTCTGGTTTCTTTCCCTATACACAGTGGTTTTCAGCAGAAGGGAAGTGATCTTGGCATGGGAGTGGCATGAGCAGGGCAGATGCACCCGGCCAGCTCTTTCCCCCCAGGTTCGTGAGACACCCAGCCCTTCTAGAAGCTCTGAGAAAAGGTCTTTGGTGACATAACTGGGAAATTTGGCTTTACCCACCAGCTCCTGGAGATCAGCAGTGAGTGTGTTAAATATGTGGTCCTTGGAGTAAAGTTAAGCCTAGTTCAATTTGCTTAGTCTAGTATTCTCATTTGAAAATGCAGCCCATTAAAAATCTGTAAGACAATGATGAAAGCTGAGGTTACCAATGACTGCATGGCTTGATATATTCTTTGGCCAGGTTTCATTTGGCCTATACAACGCTGGAGTCTCCTTTAAAGCAAAACAGTTGCAATATTCTCATATTAATCTGGACTTGGGCGCTCTTCATGAGAAAGCAGAAGATCTGAGACATCGGTCCACATTCTTGGATTATACTGGGCGGCTGGAAACAAGGCTTCAGTCTTTAGCTGGCTACAGGCCTTGTGCTTCCCAGAGGCAGCGCCACCCCAGCCTTACTCACTTGGACAGTTGCCCGAGTCCCCAGCCGCTCTAGCTTGGAGGTGTCCTTGGTGGGAGTTGACTTGGGCGGTCCTGGAAAGCCACTAATGCATTCCATCCTGCAGCATGGGCTGACTTGCGAGCTGGAGGGAAGGGATGTAAGATGTGCACAGCGTCCTGCCCTCTGGCTCCCGGGCCTGATACTTAAAGGTTCTAGTTGGGAATTGCAGAATGAGGAAGGGAAGGGTTTGGGCAGAGGGAAGCTGGCAAGGACCAAACTTGCCAGCGGGCCAGCTCAAGGAAGGAAATCTGCTACTCAAGTAGCCACTGTGAACCCCAGCGAAAAAGCCGCTAAGCAAAGCGACCCAGGTGCACCTCCTCTCCCAGTGCCTTTCCCCTGCCGAGATCGCTTCACTTTTCCGGCTCTGCGACCTAGACGCTTGTCAGGACTTCGGATTCTCCACTGGTAGAATGCACCAGTTGGACTTGAAAATGATGCTCGCCCCTTCCACAGCTGGCACTCACAAATGCCAAGACTTCATGATCCAGGAATGTCTAACTGGGCCATTCCGGAGTTGTTCCACGAATTCCAAGCAGCCCCTCCCTTCTTCCCCAGTCCCGGGAAGGGGAGGGCATCCGAGCCGGCCGGCAGGTCTGGGCTCCCGCCCGGGGGAGGAGCCCTCACTCGCGTCCCGCCCCTCCACCTGGGTCTCGACCGTCCCGTCAGATGTTACAACTTTCTCGCATTCTCTCTCGCAGTGTCCCTCCCGCCCCTAAGGCCGCGCAGCCCACACAGCCCTTGTCTCCCTCCTCTTCCCTGCGGGGTCCTGCCCACCTCCTTGTGGGGAGCCCGACTGTTCTGAGACTCCGGGCGGGGCCAGAGGCCAGCCCAGGGCTCGAGGGTCGGGGAGAGGGGAGGAGAGAGGGAAAGCAGAGGAGAGAGAAATTAGGAGGCGGGAGAAATCGGGGGCATAAAGGAAGAGGAGAGGCAGAGCATGGTGGAGAGCACTTTTTGGAGGCCGATACGCTGGGTCCCAGGCTGGCCCGGCTAAGCTGGGGGAGAGAGAGTGAGGGCGGCGCAGGGCGCGCTCTGGGGTGGCCCGGGGAGCTCCGCGCGGGCCTGACCTTCCCAGGCGCCTGGCTGAAGCCGCTGCCTGCCTGGGAAGAGACACCGGGGAGTCCCCGGGGGCACTAGGTGCTCCCGTAGCATCCAGGCGGGCTGGCTAGCCGTGCGCCCTGGGCGCGCGAGGCACCGAGGCCCGGAGCCCTGCGCGCCTGGACTGGAGGGCCGGCTCGGCGATGCACGCCCTCACCGGCTTCTCTCTGGTCAGCTTGCTCAGCTTCGGCTACCTGTCCTGGGACTGGGCCAAGCCGAACCTCGTGGCTGACGGGCCCGGGGAGGACGGCACGGAGCAGCCCTCGGCCGCTCCCCCGCAACCTCCCCACATTATCTTCATTCTGACCGACGACCAGGGCTATCACGACGTGGGCTACCATGGCTCAGATATTGAGACCCCTACGCTGGACCGGCTGGCGGCAGAGGGTGTCAAGTTGGAGAATTACTACATCCAGCCCATCTGCACGCCTTCACGGAGCCAGCTCCTCACCGGCAGGTAGGCGCAGCAGGACCCTTCTGGCTGGGATCCTAGCTCCCAGTACTCCAGTCAGATTTTCCTTTCAGGCAAGCCCAGCCTGAGACCTGGGAAGCCTGCGTTATGGACTTCTTTTCCTTCCATCAGGCTGAGCAATGTTTGGAAGTCCTTTGTTCTCTTTGGGCCTCAACTTGCCTACCATTATAAGGAATGGGTCTGATCATCTCAAGGGCTCTCTGATGTTCTAGGATGTGCACCTTCCACACAGTGCAGAGCTGTCTGGCTGGCCCGTTGGAGGATGTGGCAGCCTGTGGCATTTATTCTGAATGCCTCTTCTGTTGACAGACCTGAGCCTCCATACGTAGTTACATCTCAGTTTTCTTGTCTATAAGATGGGGCAAAGAACAGTTGAAAGGGAGCAGTGAGTGTGGAATAAGTTGTGGGTAAGCTGCGCGGCCAAAGTAAATGGCAGCTGTCACAGGGAGGATCTAGTCCCTACACTGTTCAGTCACAACACGCTGGAGAACTAAGGAATTCATGGCGGTGGGGAGAGAAAGACACAGGTGAACTGGTTACTTCACTCTTCAAACCTCTGTTTTCATCTATGAAATCCTCCCAGGTTGGCAAGGGCCCCCCTAGAAGGTGTGCTGCTTTCTTAAGGAGACACCCCTGGCAGGGTAGCAAGAGTACAGGGTTACAAAAGCAGAGAAACAGGAGGAGGGTTGTGGAAGGCAAGCTCTGGCCACTTAGGAGAAAATCCTTTGGCAGGGCTGACGCTAATCTTTCTTGAAAGGGAGCCAAGGTATGTTTTCTCCCAAATTCTATCCCAAAGTGTAATCCCTGTCTCTCCTGGGTAGAGAGAAACCGAGGCAGGAAGTCAAGGAGAGCCTAACCTCATGCCTGGGCCAAATTTCTGGGCCTTGTGGGAGAGGGGGCTGCTCAGCAGGGGTCCTGGAGCAGAACCCAATGGTGAGCCCTTTCTTTCTTGGATCTAGTGCTTACCATTCAGATCCCGGGACAGAGAAGACAGGACAGGAGGAGGGGATGGGTGTCTTCTATGGTTGGGGCTGGGATCCTGGTGGTAAAGGCAAGACATCTACTGATTTCCTGCAGAGGGAGAAGGAATCTGCATTCCATGAGTTTTGTACAAGTTAGCCTTTCTCTCCCTAGAGTGATGACATCTGGTTTAAGCAGTGGAGGGAGTCGCCAGTGGGGCAGCGCTCCAGCCTCTTGATCCGTGAAGTTAGTTGAGCCTGGCAGGCGGTGTCTCCTCTCCACCCTCTGCAGCTGGCTACCTCTGACCAGTGTTCTGTGTGCTCCGTGCTTGTCGGCATTTGTTAATGCTCCCTGTCCTGTTTGGTGGAGCCAGAGAGGGCCACAGTTTCTCGGATTACTTACATGCAGTAGGCTTTGGCGACTCTGGACAGCTCACCCACATGAAAGCCAGCGCTCCAAGGAACTTCAGCTTTATGAAGAGCAGCTCAGCAAACAATCAGGGCCCTGGGGCCCTAGGGCACTTCTATCAGTAGAGTGCAATTATTTTATCAGACTGACCAAGGCCTGGAGGGACTGTTTCACCAAAGATTTTGAGCATGGATTGGGTAGCCAGGGGGTCAGAGGTCAGTGCCCCTGCTTGCCAGCTTTCTTTCTTTCTTTCTTTCTTTTTTTTTTTTTTTGCGGCACCGGGGATTGAACTCAGGACCCTGCGCTTGCCAGGCAAGCCCTTATTCTAATGAGTTATCACCCTAGGCCCTTTCTAATCTTGTGCCAGTTGCTCTATTTTTGGGAACCTCTGTTTCATTATCTGTAGAGTGGGACAATAATAGTCTCTGGCATAGATTTTTAAAATGAGAATTAAATGTGTGTCACATAGTGTTAAAGTGGTAGTAGTATTTAATTATAGCTAACACTAATAACAGCTTTAAAAGAAGGAAATCAAAACAGAAACCCCCTAACCTATCAAAGTGTCAAGAACTCAGGTCTTAGTTAGTCTGGGTGTACATGGGAGAGAGAAAAGGGCATGGGGTCCTAGTATACTTGTGAAGTTCTGGGCTTTTGGCTCACTATAGATTTGTAAGACACCATAAACAAAACTGGGGTGTGGTGTGTAGGCCACCACACAGGAGGCTGAGGCAGGAGGATTGCAGTGAGTTCAAGGCCAGCTTGAACTATATAATAAGATTGTCTCAAAAAAAAAAAAAACCCATAAAGCAGATCACATGTTGGCTTTGACCACAGAAGGAGCAAGATGGGGTATGAATGCATAAATGAGGAATTCAGGACTCTGCTAAGTATTTACTTCTACCTCAGAGCCTTAGTCTTTGTGAGTGACCTGGATCGAGGGGCCACATGAGCTCAGAAGCAAGCACATAGCAGCTGATCTCCTAAAATTTGGGGACTAGAGGGTTCTTAGCGATTTCCCATGCCGGCTAGTCTGCTCACACACAGTAGACTCCAAGCTGAAGACCCCTGGGGGAAGGGATGCGACAACCTAGGTTACTGGAAACAAGTTTCTGGGTGAGCTCTGCTTGGATTTGTGTTGAAGTCTTGACTCTGCCCTTGGCCACTGAGTGATGTTGGGGAAGCCCTTTCCTTTCCTCTGACCTTAATTTCTTTTATAGAGTAGGTGAATAAGCCAAGAGAGGAGGTGGATTCTTCTGGCTCTAAAACCTTCTGAATGCCATTCATTCATTCATTCATTCATTCATTCATTCATTGCATAAATAACTGAGTGTACTTTAAGCATTATCTGGGTGCTAGGAACACAAAGTTGAGTAAGCAGTTTTATTACATGACATTGGGCCCAAAAGCATGGACACCAAGTGTGATCCCACGGCCAAGTGGGACCATGAATGTGTGTACTTAACTCTGGAGAACATACAAGCAAAAGCAACATGTTCTTTGGGAGAGCTATGGGGAAACATTACGGTTGGGTAACATTTCAGCTGAACTTTTGAGAGTAAGTAGGAATTTGCCTGGAAGAGCAGGATTTGTTATAGACTTCATAGCAAGTTTATGGCTTACAAAGCTCAGGGACTCTCAAGTTTGGAGCCAGACTGCCTGGGATACAAATACCATTGCAACTACGCAAAATGTGAATCACCAGACAAACAATTTAACTTGTTGAGCCTTAGTTTTCATATTTGGGAAATGGGAATAATTGCACGTGTCTCCTAGTTTGTGGTGAGGATTTAGTAAGATCATTGAAAGGGCTTAGCATGATGTCAAGCACACAAGGAGTGCTTTGTGTTAACTATTGTTTTTGTCATTATCAATCTAGGTTCAATTCTTAATTCCCCAACTTCCTAGCTGGACAATTGGATTAACTATTCTGGGCTTTTGTCTCATCTGTACATTGTTAGTAATATCTCCTTCAATTGATTTTCATGATTCAGTGAGATGTTGCATTTGAGGTGCTTAACTCCTTGGTAACACATGGTTGTTGGTGGTGTTTTGCATAGTGCTGGGACCAAAGACCACCTTGGGATGGTGCCAGGGTTGGTTGGTAGCACCAACAGGTGGTCTGTAGCTCACCTGTGCCTTCTTTCCCCCACCCCCAAACAGATACCAGATCCATACAGGACTCCAGCACTCCATCATCCGCCCTCGGCAGCCCAACTGCCTGCCCTTGGACCAGGTGACACTGCCCCAGAAGCTGCAGGAGGCAGGTTACTCCACCCACATGGTGGGCAAGTGGCATCTGGGCTTTTACCGGAAGGAGTGCCTGCCCACACGCAGGGGCTTTGACACCTTCCTGGGCTCCCTCACAGGCAACGTGGACTACTACACCTATGACAACTGTGATGGCCCAGGAGTGTGTGGCTTTGACCTGCATGAGGGGGAGAGTGTGGCCTGGGGGCTCAGTGGCCAGTACTCCACCATGCTCTATGCCCAGCGTGCCAACCACATTCTGGCTAGCCACAGCCCCCAACAGCCCCTCTTCCTTTATGTGGCCTTCCAGGCTGTGCACACACCCCTGCAGTCTCCCCGAGAGTATCTGTACCGCTACCGCACCATGGGCAATGTGGCCCGGAGGAAGTATGCAGCCATGGTGACCTGCATGGACGAGGCTGTGCGCAACATTACCTGGGCCCTCAAGCGCTACGGTTTCTATAACAACAGTGTCATCATCTTCTCCAGTGACAATGGTGGCCAGACCTTTTCAGGAGGCAGCAACTGGCCCCTCCGAGGGCGCAAAGGCACTTATTGGGAAGGGGGTGTGCGGGGCTTGGGCTTCATCCACAGCCCTCTGCTCAAGCGAAAGCGACGGACCAGCCATGCACTAGTGCACATCACTGACTGGTACCCGACCCTGGTGGGTCTGGCAGGTGGCACTGTGTCAGCAGCCGATGCACTTGACGGCTATGATGTGTGGGCAGCCATCAGTGAGGGCCGAGCCTCACCTCGCACGGAGATCTTACACAACATCGACCCACTCTACAACCATGCCCGGCATGGCTCCCTGGAGGGTGGCTTTGGCATCTGGAATACTGCAGTCCAGGCTGCCATCCGTGTAGGCGAGTGGAAGCTGCTGACTGGAGACCCGGGCCCCGGTGACTGGATTCCGCCCCAGACCCTGGCTGCCTTCCCTGACAGCTGGTGGAACCTGGAGCGGATGTCCAGCGTCCGCCAGGCCGTGTGGCTCTTCAACATCAGTGGTGACCCTTATGAACGGGAGGACTTGGCTGGCCAGAGACCTGACGTGGTCCGAGCCCTGCTGGCCCGCTTGGCTGACTATAACCGTACAGCCATCCCTGTGCGCTACCCGGCTGAGAATCCTCGGGCTCATCCTGACTTTAATGGGGGTGCTTGGGGGCCCTGGGCCAGCGACGAGGAAGAAGAGGAAGATGAAGAGGAAAGCAGGGCTCGAAGCTTCTCCCGGGGTCGCCGTAAGAAAAAGTGCAAGATTTGCAAGCTCCGATCCTTTTTCCGTAAACTCAACAACAGGCTGATGTCCCCCAGGATCTGATGGGTGGGGTGGCAGGATCTTGGTTCCTTAGATAGATTTCCCCACTTCAGCCTGGTCCTGCTCCTTCTCAGGTAGAAGCCTGAGGTCGAGTCTCCATCTGTAGGGAAACAGAGGGCATAGAGCCCCTCAGTTGTACAAGATGAGAACCTCACTGAGGGCTGGGTGTAAACCAGACTGGATGCCTGGGTCCTCCTCCTGCCTCTCTACTGACGCTGTGACCTCAGGTGACCTATGGGAGCTTCCAGCCTCAGTTTTCACATCTGTAAACAAGCTCTAATGACTTTGTGACTATGGGATGCACACGGTCCCCTGAGGTCATGGTGGAGTCATGGGCGGTATTGCTGCCTCACAGCTTGCACTGTGAGGCCTTTCCCCTCATCCTGGTTGGGTGAGAGGCCATCTGGAGGCAGCTTCCTGCTGGACATTAGCTGGAGTCTGGCGAGCTGACTGCTCTTTTCAGGGACCCTGTGAGTGAGGGCAAAGGGGGACAGGCTGGGAGGCTACCCTTTTTGGTCTTCACGTGGCCTAGGCTAGTCCTGGCCAGATCATCGGGGCACTGGCAGAAAGTTCTTTCTGCCTCCGGCATCCAGGGACATTGCTGGGCCCTCAGCTGCTTAATATCAAGGTCAGTAGAAAGAGCTGTGAACAGAGCCCCTGAACCCATCATCTCCTGTGACCTTAGGCACTGTCCTTCCACTCTGGGTCTCACTTTCCTGGCTCTGGCTACCTCAAAGAGCTGCAGAAGACTGGCCCATCTTGTGGTTGTGAAGGAGCCTGTGAACCTGATTAAATGCCTGTACACAGAGGCGAGCAGTTCATTGCTGTCTGTGAACACATCTGTGGACATGTGTGGGTCAGCATGTGCGTCCTGGGGTGGGTGTGAGCCCTTGGACAGCTGAGAGAATGGGAGAAGAGGTAGGCAGCCTGGCCAGGAGGCAGAAGGTGTGAGAGTCCTGCGACAAATACATGGTATAACCTCCTGCAAACCCGTGACCTACTCTGGGCCTCAGTTTCCTACAGAAAGTAGATGATCTAAGGGTCCTTTCCACTTGGCCATTCTGGGCATCGCTGGGTGTGCATTCTGGGGTACATAGTCTGAGTGGTGGGGAGAATGGGTATGGGGGGTTGCAAAGCCTGCTTGCTGCATAGCGTCTCCATCCGCACATTGCGTTCTGCATATCTCCCTTCAGGTTCCAGTCGGCGCAGTGTGTGTAGGCGAAAGCCCTGCTGTGAATTTTGAAAATAGTTATTTTTGTCACTGGCAAAGGAGGACTGTTAGGACTCGTCAGCTTGTGGATGAACGGGATGGGTGGGGTGGGGTATGTGCAGTGCAGTGGGGGCTCAAGTGTTGGTTAGAGAACTGCGTCCCAACTGCAAGGACAACTGGGTAAGAATGTGGTCTGGGGCTGCAGGGTGGAAGTGACCATTGTGTCCTAGGCCTTTCCTCCTGGCCCTGTGCTTTTGGCTGCTTGTCACTTCCCCACTGGACCTTTTCCCTGCTTCCACAATGGTGGCGCCCAGCTGGTGGGGCAGGGGCCAGGATTGCAGAGGCTTTTGATGTCGGTGACTGCAATATTTTTGCCTGCCCAGGAAGGAGGCTCTGAAGAACCATCCATTCAGGTGGATTCTTGGCCAGGTGTACACCAGGGATGGGTGGTCCAGAGTGTGCCTGTGACTCAGGATATTCCAGCTCTGCTGGGTGCTTTTTCTGGCTGTATGTTCTGGGCCTTCCCAAGAGACATGGAGCCAAGGCCTCCTTGCATTTCCAGGCTTGCACTAATTTATGTGGGTGCCTGCTGAGCTGGACCTGCACAAAGTGGCCCAGCCCCTAACCCTAGTACCTCTTTCATTGTTGGAGGCCAGCAGGCCTCTGAGCACCAAGGCCCACTCCCTGCAGCTAGCCTGGCCTCAAAGCCTAGAGGCCACTGAGGACAGAGCCTAGTGCCTACTCGTGGAGCCTCCAGAGAAGGAGAGCTGACCAGGTCTCTGCCCTGTGCAGAACTCACCTAAGTCAGAGTTCTAGTCATCGCAGAAACTAACCCCACTCATGCTTCTACTTGCAGCCTGATCCAATGAGAGATGGTGGCTGGTTTGGACCTTACTTTGATGGAGGGTTATTCTCTGAGAGGCTCAGCCTACTGTGTCTTCTGCTCTGTCCAGCAATTAGCATGCCAACCTCCTGGAACTCCTATCTCTTATATCCTCCAGAGTTCCTCTCTAGCCAGTGCACTTCCTGCCTTCTCCTGGCACTGCTGGACAGGTCCTCATATCACTCAAGCCTCTGTGTGGAGCAGGGAGAGGGAGGAAGGAGGGCAACCAGAGGTAGCTCTGGTTCCTTGAGTCATAGAGCTGGGGGTCTGGAGCCCAACAGTGTCTGCTGAGTCTCCCTTCTCTCCCGTGGCTGGACCAGGTGGCAGCAGATCTGTTAATCAGGTTGGAGCCAGGTGGAAGTCCATCCAGGCTGGGCCTTTTCTGTGGCGCTGTATCCTGCTGACCGATCCCTCAGAAGTCGGGTGAAAGCCCACACCTACCTGGGACTCAGAAGCTTTTCCTCTCTTCACCAGGTGCCTGCTGGCCACCTTGGAACAGGTGAGCACTCCCGCCAGTGTGCTCAGGAAGAGAGAGGGCAGCGCAGGGGAGGCAGGAACACATTCTGGGAGCCAGAATTCCTGGATTGTTATCCTGACTGTCTCTGACTTGGGCTTCAGTCCCCTATTTTTGAGAAGCATGGGCCATCTCAAGGACCTCCTAGCCCTAGTGGAGACTTAATAACCCAGATCAGGAGCACTGAAGTCTCGCAGGCCCAGATGAGAGCCTCAGTAGCATGGCCTTGGCAGGATAAGTAGCATCACAGCTCTGTAAAATGGGTGCTATTGTGCCTCAAGAGGTGAACGCAGTGCCATGCGTATGGCTCTGAGCACAAGGCCTGGACTGAGAAGGGTGCAATTACTTTCATGTCCTTGGAGTCACTGAATATGTTATCCCCATCCTCGGAGGAGGTGGAGACCCCTGGGGGAAAGGACTGCAGCCTGCTCTCCCAGGATTGGAACTCAGGTCCTTCCTGCAGATTATGCTGTGTAGCCTTTGGCTCAAAAGTCACTGTTCTCTGTCCTGTGGCTTCCTACCTCATTTACCTCTGCCAGGAAGGTCTTCATGTGGGACACCTGCAGACTCCCTGGCCCTCCCTTCCCTCCCTTCTGTGCTTGGGCCTGCCATCACTAGCTGCGATGAGCTAATCTGATCACTGCCGCCAGACCCTCGGCAAGATCCTCTCTCTCCTGGCCCACTTTCCACTGGTTCTGCCCCTTGTGCTTGCTGCCCTTAGTGGGACAGGCCCCGTGGGGACCCTACTGATGGCACGTTTTCTGTGGTTCCTTCTCAGGCCCTGCAGGACCTCAGGAATATGCATGTGATTGCATGGATAGGCTGTGGAGGGTGGGATTTGAGTTGGGTGTCACAATATCCCTGAGGCTCAGGTCGCAACCCAGAAACTCAGCCCCGGTCTCCTTCTGTCCCCTTCATCAAAATGGCCCACTGACCATGCTCACATGCCCAGCCCTATGTGGCATGCTGGGACCATGCTTAGCAACCTGCTGGGCTCCTGGCTCAGGTTACCAGCCCTTGGCATGCAGGCCTATTCCTGTTATAGCCCACACATGTTGCAGGTGGGGGCACACGTGCTGGCTCTCATGCCTGCCATGGCCCTGGGGAGCAGGGCGTCTGGCAGGAACAACCCCCCTGATGCAATCATCTTTCATTCTATCTGAGACACAGAGGCACACCCGGCTCCTTGCTGCCCTCCACCACTGGGCCCAGCTGCCAGCCTCGCAGGCACAGGGGAGGCAGTGAATTAACAGTTAACCTCTTGTGCAGAGTAGCAGTTGGTCTCAGCATGGGGGTGCCCACTGGAGGTGGTGCTCATACCCCTGAGCTAGTGCTGGGAGGTTCCATGGGTGTGCACACATAGGTGTGTAAGACAGACTTGCCATGGAGGCCTCATCCTTTCCCCTGCATCTCTCCCTCTCCTTGCTATCCAGCTGTCTGTGCCATCAGATGAATTCTGCAGCGTGAGACCTGCCCATGCCCCAGGACTGCATGCCTGGGAGAGAAGTGACAGAGACCAGACGACAGAGAAAGTGAGAGAGCAGGAAGAATAGGAGGGAGAAGGATCAGGAATGACAGAATGAGAAGAGATGAAAACAAGAGGAGAAAGACAGGGTAGGAAAGAGGAAAAGAAGAAAGGATTGTTGAAAGGGAAGACGGAGCGTAGAGGTGCCAGGAACGGGGGCTGGGCTGTTCCTGTACCTGGCAGGACCCGGAGGTCCTGTCAGAGACAGAGAATGACTTGCCCACCTGTGCCACTTTGCTCCTGCACACCGTCCTTGGAATCATGTGGCCCGCTGCTGGGACCTTCCCCATGGGCTCCCTTGCTTCTGAACTTCCGTTTCCTCAGAGGGAGGGAGAGGAGAGAGCTGTTGGGCAGCACCAGGCCAAGCAGGGCTATCCCCTTCTCTGTCCAGAATGGTAAATTTCCATGAATCCAGCCTCACAGAACAATTTGTTGTTGTTTTTACTATGTTTTGAATCAAAGTTATCGCTAGGCTTGGACTTGATGACTGGAAGCCCGGTGACCACTCCTAGCCCCAGCCTCTTGCTCCATGGGAACTGTTGCAAGGTGATGTCCCAGCCATGAGCTAAACTCTGGCGTTACTCAGAGAAGAACACTGGTGTACTGTGTGAACCTGCACGGTCCAGGGGTGGGGAGGCCCTCAGCAGTGATCATTCTACACGTCTTCAACACACATGCAGTGTTACCCACGGTGTTCATCTCACTCCACAGCCCTGGAGCTAGGGGATCAGAGTCCCCAGTTTACACATGAAGAAAGGGAGGCACAGAGAAGCGAGGATACTCCTCCCAAATCACACAGTTTGTAAGTCATGGGGGAACCCCAAGAACTCAGCAGGACTCCTCTCCTCTCCCCTGCCCATGAGGCCAAGGTGGCCTCAGCTCTTTAGGTATGGAAGCCATCCCTCCCAGGACAGACTAGAACCTCTGGGGCAGGAAGGCAGCAGTGCAGCTCTGCCCTCACCTCGCTGCAGGTGCCTGTGGCTTGGCCCGTGGTGTTCTGTGTCCTGCCTGCTTTTCCTCTCTGCTTTTGAATTGCAACGTTGGCAGCAGAAGCCAGAAGCATATTGTGCATAGAAACAAACAGGAGTGGTTTTTCCTTTTTCTGAAGGTGGTAATGGTGCAATTAGTGGCTAAGCCATTATTCCCTCCCCCTCCACTCCCCTCCTTCCTCCCTGCCTCCCTCCCTCTTCCCTCCTGGGAAGAGTGATGAATGAGAGAGCCCACCTCTCCTCCCGAACCATGATTCCTGGGAAGAGGGGTAGAGTGGAGAGGTACCCTGATGTCTCCAGGCCCCCCTGGACTTGGGGTCCTGAGTTAGAGGCTTACTGGGGCTGGAAAACACCAAAAGGTGGGCAGTGCATCCAGCAAACCAGGTGCCTAGCAGGTAATCTGGAGGTTCAGAAGAAACGGCTGCGCTGGAATCCAGAACGATGGGATCCCTAAATTCTCTTATCTGCCTCAGCTCGTGGGGGGCCGGCAGGGTCTGGCACAGACTCAGCCTGAGCTTTGGGCTGCAGTGAGCTAAGGCACCCTTTTCTTTCCTGAGTGGAAGGTGTTGGTGTGCAGGACTTGAGGCTCCAAGTCTGAGCTAGAGGGATTGGAGTGGCCAGGGTCCCACTTGGAACCTTCCTTTTCCTTTTCTAGAAACTTTTTAAGGCTTCATAGTTGGATATGTCCCAAGGGACCTTCATAGCCATTAGGCCACTCAGTCTTCACAGCCTTCCTCTACAAAGACATTTTAGTATCTTATTTTATAGCAGAGAAGCTGGAGGCTCAGGGAGTGTCAGTGACTTTCCCAGAGTCACACAGCTAACAATACAATAATAATAATAATAATAATAATAATAATAATAAACCTGAACTCTGATCTTTAAACTCCAGTTCCTTTCCTTCCTAACCCCCTAGGGCTTTAGGGTAGGTTTTGGGGCGAGATGTATGACTGATGCCCTGAAGAGCTGAAGTTGGCATGGAAGGTGCCCATAGCACTTGGAGGTGCCCATAGCCCCGGCCCCAGCTAAATTGCCGCAGCTGCTTCTCTCCTGTTTTACAGAAACTGGGCCATGAGCCCCAGGGGACTAGATCTCCAGGTCCCTCTGGGGCACAGGGTGGAGGAGAGCTGGAGGAAGAGGCCTCAGAAGGGACCCAGAAGCTGTCACTGCTTTGAGAAGTAGGGGTGAACAGGCTGTGAGAGTGGTCCCTCCAGAATTCTGGGGTCTCTTCTGCACTTGTTCTGCAGGTGAGGTTGCTAGTATGATGGAAAGGTGGCAGGACAGCCGAGGGAGCAAGAGCAAAATAAGGACAGAGGCAGAGAGAAACAAGACAAAATTACAGAGGGGCACAGGGAGATAGTTACTGAGACTACAGCACTCCACAGAGAGATATCCTGATGAATTAACCGTCGCTTCCCTGTAAACCCTAGAACCCCGCTGTTGCCAGGGCAACGGGGCAATACCTGTCTCTCCAGAGGAGATGAAGTTGCCAGGGTAACTATATCCTGTCCTTCCTTCGGACCATCCTGGAATGTGGCACCCCCTGGATGTTACCATGGCAACTGCCTCTTTGCCCCATTTAATCCCATCCTGTCTGCTATAAGGGCTCCACAGTTGGAGATGGGGGAGGTGAGAAAAGAGACAATCACTTGTGGACTAAGTTTGTTCTTGTCCCCTGTCTCCACCCTGCCTCAGTCCCTCACCCCGGGGGGCATTGGGTCCACCTGCACCTGGGCCCACACAGGTCTGCAGTATTGTGCGCAGTAGGGCCAGGGCATCCGTCCGGGAGCAGGTTTCGCAGTGGAACGCAGGCAGGTGTTGGGGAGGCAGTTACCGGGGCAACGGGAACAGGGCGTTTAGGAGGTGGTTGCCATGGGGACCTGGATGCTGACGAAGGCTCGCGAGGCTGTGAGCAGCCACAGTGCCCTGCTCAGAAGCCCCAAGCTCGTCAGTCAGTCGAGCCAGTTCTCCGTTTGCACTCGGCAGCACGGGCAGGCGAGTGGCTCCTAGTTCTAGGAGCAGAACAGCAGTGCCCCAGTCCTGGTGCCCCAACCCCGAGCCTCGCCTGCCTGCCCTGCGCCAGCATGGCCACCATCACCTGCACCCGATTCACAGAAGAGTACCAGCTCTTTGAAGAACTGGGAAAGTGAGTTGCACCCCAGGGATCCTAGAGGGTGCAGGGGTCATCCTCTTGGGTGGGTGGGATGTGGGGACAATGTGCCTGTTTCTCCAGGACTTTCCATGTACACAGAATAAGGCAAGCTGCATGTTTTGGGGGTGCTTGCATGTGGACAACGTGCCCAGTCAGGTGTAGGCATGTCTGTGGGTGCAGATGTGCCATGCCAGCCGTGTGTGTGTGTGTGTGTGTGTGTGTCTGTGTGTGTGTTTGATGAAATGATAGTGCATGCCTGTGGCACACACATGCACACAAGTACACATGACCCGGGCACAACAGATTCTTAGAAATTCCATGTTAAAAAGGATTTTCCCACCCAGCTGGGTCCCAGCTGGAATCCCATTCTAGATTCACTTGACAGAGAGCTCACCCCCTCTCAAGTAACCCTTCCTGACGCTAGATGCCTGCAGCCACAGTGCAGAGTGGCCAACTTCTTCCTGTGAGCACCTCCCCTTCCCACCTCCTCCTGCCCAGCTCCTATCAGGACAAGGGCATCGGCACAGGAGGGGTTAATAGTGAGCGACTTTACTGTTGGGAGGAGGGGCAATCAGCAACCTGGGGGACACCTGGGATTATGAAGGGTGCGCAAACTGTGGTCCTTGGTCAAAGTTGCCCAGCCCCAGAGCTCTTTTTGTGCCTCTGATGCTGATGGGAGAAGGCTGGGCAGGTGAAGAGATAAGGGAACCCCTTGAGTAGCACGGCACAGAGAAGGTTCCTAGGTGCCCCCAGCTAGGCTTCTGGAGGACCTCAGGATGGAGCAAGGCTTGAGACGCAGTTTGGAGGTGGAGTGTACCCCATGGACGAAAGGGTGCCAGTGCTGTAGCAGCAGGAGCTCTGGAAGAGGGGTCTTGTAGACAGGCATGTGAGGTTTGAACGTATCTGCAGGAGTGTGCATTTTGAGGTGGGGGTTAATGTTGGTTGTCACTTGAGGACTTTTGAGGGAATTGATTATGTTGTGTAAGAACTGACTGTAGGGTCTGCTTGTACGCACCAAAACAGTGCTCACACACTCATGTACGAACACAGGAGAAAGTGCTTGTGTATAAAGCCTGAAAGTGTAGGTGCAAGGGGTGCCTGTGTATGAGTGTGAAAAAAGTGCTGTCGGCTAGGTTGCATGGGAGTGAAGGCATGGATATGAGTCACTGTGTGTGCATGCATGTGGCAGGTCAGAGCTGTGTCCAAATCAGTGGGGAAAAGTATGTTGGGCTGGGGTGTGTAAGGATGCAGAATGAGATGTGGACACAGTGGCATCTATATGGAGTCTAGATGTGCTCATCTGTGTGAGAGCTGGGGGCATGCACACAGGAAGGGGTGTGTGTGTGTGTGTGTGTGTGTGTGTGTGTGTGTGTGTGTGTGGCCTGGGCTCATGGACTCATGTTGTAGGCATGTGAGCTCATGCTGGCATCTGCCTATGTGTGGGAAGTGGGCCTATGCCTGTGTATATGCAGTTGCCTGCACACACACATACACACACACTTGTACTTGCACACCCAGTCTACCATGACATGTACAGGTATAAGCCAGGTCCTGGTGTAGACCTAAGCGCTTGTGCTGATGTGATTTCTCTCTGGTCCTCAGACTTCCTGCTTCTCCGAGGGTCTTTGTGCTGGAGGTGGGACTCAGTAACCCAATGTTTGGGGTTGTTCTGGAGAATTAGGCTGCCCCCTAGCTCTAGCCGGGCCTCCTTGCCTGCTGGCTTGTGCTGCCTACCCAGAGTCCAAGGAGCGGCCTTTCAGGGAGTGACCATGGCCTGGCTATGTGGGGCTGCGTCACAGTGCAGGGAGATGAAGTTGGGATGTGATTCAAGTGCTAAAAGTGAAAACCAAAGTGCTGCTCTGCCCTGAGATGGAACATCACCAAGACTGTTTATGGGGGTGATTTAGCCAAGAGGTGCTTTGTGAGCCTTCTCAGCCCCTGTACTGCTTGGGCTCTCAGAGGGCCCAGCTCAGGGTCAGGATTCCAGGGGAGAGGGGACTTGGTGTGCTCATGATAGAAAACTGAGGGTAGCAGGCATGACCAGTCCTTGTCTAATCAATTTCAGACCTCTTCCTTCCAGAATCATCAATGCTCTTAACCTTTTTTAGGTCACATATTCCTCCAGGAATCTGATGAGAGTTGAAATTGACATTTCCCAGAAAAGTGCACAAACCTACAAAATGCTGTGTGCAGTGTCAGGAGCATGAACGACCTCGGCAGGCTGGGCCTGGGCCTAAGGGAGCGGTGTGTGTGTAGGAGAGAAAGGGCTGTGGTGGCCGGCTGTGTGCCTGAGATCTGTTTGATAAAGGCCAGGGCACATTACAGAGGAAGCCAGCAGCATCACTTTGCACACCAGTGTCTGCCCAAGTGTCCGGCAGGGCTGGGGGTTGGGGGTAGGGCCACAGTGCCGCACCCTTAACTCAGTGGCATTGGACAATCTTTGACATGTTTCTTCCATCATAGATCTGGAGATAAAAAAGGGCTGCAGGGATTAAATGAGGTGGTAGGCGTGGAGACGCAGCCTCCATCCTGGGGCACCACAGGCCTCAGGGAGGACATTGCTGCTGCTGCAGATGGAGATGCTGTCTTCAAGTGCTGGGCAGGATGAGGCAGGGAGCTGGGCTGTCTGTCAGATGTTTACCTTTTGTCTGGAGTTGACTAGTAAAGGTGTGTGTGTGAGGGGGTTGATCAAGCCCCCCACCCCCGGGCTGCCAGAGAGACCCTGCTCCTCTGTAGGAGGAATCAGTGAAAATGTCTGCAAGGCCCACTTATCAATTGATGACCCCCACCCCTCTCATCTGGGACCCTGTAGTTGATACCCAGAACTTGAGCCCCTTCCAGAACCTACTCCAGATGACCAACAAGGTGACTGGCAGAGGAAGCTGGGTCCACTCTAAATGGGACATAGGGACCTTTGGCCTCTCAGTAGGACCCTAGGTGGCCCAGCTGGGGAGGGGGGCAAATGCCTCTCCTGAGCTTCCTGGTGGCCCTGCCTAGTGAGGCCTGGCTTGTCACTGTGGGCCTTCCAGGAGCCCAGGGTAGGGTTGGCCATGGATAGATGAGCTGCCTGTACACCCTGGGCTGGAGGCAGGGCCCTCAGTAGGCTCTTCCCCGGCTTCTGGATGCTGCAAGGCTGAAACCCCCACTGAACCATATGAATCCAAAAGAGCTGAGAACTTGGCAGTTCCTCTAAAGGGTCAGATGGAACTATCTCTTTTAGACCCAAAGATGAGCTCACTCCCTCCCGCATTCGCCCCATCCTTCTCCTGCCCTGTGATGAGCCCCAGGAGCACAAAAGCTGGCTTGGGGCAACTGCAGCATCAGCTCCAGGGGGCAGGCCAGAGTTCCCAGCATGCTTCGTCTTCTCTGAAGTCCACAGTCTCAGAAAAGGGCAGAACTGCTAGAGTAGGAATGGGAGTGCGAGGAAAGCACAGAGGGCCCAGGGAAGGGCAGGGTGGGGAAGCAGAGGAGGAGGAGGAGGGGGCCTTTGATGCTCCCTGGCTTGGGTCCCACCCCTGAGGCAGCGGGTAGAGAGGCAGAGAGTCCCCTGCAGCCTGGGTAATCATCAGGCTGTACTGAAAGAGCCTCAGAAAGAGATTGCACTTGAGAAAGGAAGAGGGAGGGAGGGAGGGAGAGTGTTCAGCCCACTCTTTTCTCTCTAGAAACAGGAATCTGAAATTGATTCAGGCTGCATGGGGGTGGGGTGGGTGGCCAGCAAGACTGACAGGGAGGAGAGGCTGGATCCTTCCAAGCTCCCTTTGACCCCACAGCACCGTGCCGTGCACCAGACCAGGCTGGGCTGCTAGCAGGTGGCAATGTGCCCAGAGGTGGCTCCTTTGCTGGGGTCTGTCCAAGGTTATTTCTCGCACCCAAGATCTCACCCCTTTGAAAGATGCTTGGCTATGCCGCCCTTCCTGGCAAGGGTGTCAAGAGAAAGGGCAATATCGTGGTGGAAGGAGACAACACCAAGGCCCCAGCCTGCCCACAACCTAATGGCAGCCTGTTAGCCTACTCGCTTCCCCTCTCCCTCCGCCACACTCTGGGGCAGGCACTTCGTGGTCCATCTGCTCAGCTCAGAGGCAGGCTGACTGGGTCACTCCTATCTTACAGATGAATATACTCTGGCTGGGAGAGGTAGAGGCGTGGCTTGGGACAGTGTCCAGGTCTCCAGTGTGGGTGTGTGGGGGAAGCTTTCCAAAGGGGCCCTCAGGATGCCATGTCTGGGAAACTTCCCTCTTCTTGCTCACGATCTGTTACTTTCTGATCATGATTCTGACTTGCGTTTACTGGGGCACCTGGCAGGAATCACTTGGCTACTGTATGCCTCAACTTCACTATCTGTAAAATGGAGATCCTATCTCTGGAGATGCCTGCTGCCCCATTAGGGTAACTAGCCTCTGTGGCCCGTCTGTGGAAGGTTTCATGGGCAATCTCAGACTCCCAGATCTTCAGAACTGAGGGAACTGCAGAGATGTCTGTTCACTGCACAGATGGGGGCAATGCCCAGAGGTCACAGTGTGAGACAGTGGCAAGGTCAGGGTTAGGAGATAATCATGAGCAGGTGCCAAAGTGCCAAGGATGGGAGATTGGGAAGCAAGACCCCAGGGGTGGGTGTGCAGGGCCAGGAGGAAGGAGGGCCTTTCCTCGCTCTCCCTCCAAGCCATCAGAGCAGCAGGCAGGCACATGTTCTGGTGCATGCCACAGGCCTCCGCCCCCACACAGCCACCCCCACGCAGGCTGAGACACACTGACACTCTGTGAGCCTCCTCCCTCCGCCTACCTCCCTCCACAAGTGCACGGCGACAATGCTGCCAGCAGCCCTGCGGCATGGGGCTGTGGCCCTCTGTGGGGGCTGAGGGCAGCCCCTCGGGATGCAATGCCTGCATGCTGGTGCTACCCATGCAGCCGGGCACCCTCTCACAAGCTCACAGAATGCACACTGGACCCCTCAACAGAGCACAGAGTGCAGTCCTCTCCTGTGTAGGGACAGCGAG